TGCGGCAAGGACGCTAGCCCTGGGGGGCCAAGGCTGACCACTGGTCAGGGCCCCACCCACCCCCAAGCCCCTGGGCAGGCCTAAGGCCTATAGCCTCCAAAGTTGGGCTGGGAAGCGAAGGACAGGGTAGGTTCATGACAGGACCCCATGTGACCAAAGACAAGTGTTAAGGGACCTGGTGGCAGGTCAGTAAGATCAGACCGCAGACCGGTCCATGCCAGGAGCCAACAGCACCCGACCTGGCCACGTTCAAATCAAGAATGCTCCATCACTGCCATCTCCTCAAATCCGCTCCTCCCCATTCCTGCAAAAGCAGCACTGACCAAAAACTGTTGTCCTGCTTATCAGCCCCTCCACATGTATCTCCGAGGCCCCACCTTCCCGAGGCATCACACCCCAGCCCTCCCCTCCAGCCCCCCTCCTGGGTCTCCATCATCATCCTGATAGCCTCCTCATTACTGACAAGTCCCCGGCTTCTCTCCAGTCTACCAGTCTCCAGCAATCCAGACTAACTTTGTTAAACGACTCCCTGGCAATAATTTCAAAGGAAAGTCTGAACTAGTACAGTGAACAAACAATCCAACTGCCCTATGACCTCCCTGAGGTTCAGCAACTATGAACTGCTTTCTCACCTGACGTGTTATCTGAAGTCATCTGACTTATCGTCATCTCCCACATCTCAACATTTTAGATGGTTTTTTTTTCCCCTCTTCCTGAGCCATTCCTGAGCCTACGCTGCAGACCTCACACCCCCTGCCCCTGAATATTTCTCGTCCGAAGAGCAAGGCCGCTCTTACATAATCACAGTACGACTTTGTGAAACGTGATCCTGACTGGGTGCTATCGGCTAATCTACAGTCCATATTCCAATTTCGTCAATTGCCCCAGTGATGTCCTTTAGAGCAATTTCTTCCCTGATTCAAGATCCCATCGAGGGCCACACAGGGCCTCCTGCTGTCGGTCTTTCGTCTCCTCTAACCAGGAACAGTCCGCAGCCTTCATCTTGCCTTCCACGACGTGTTTTGTTTAAGAGTCCAGACTGGTTCCATAAAACGTCCCTCAACGTGAGTCACTTCCTCCATTTAAAACCCTTCACTGCCTTCTCACTCCTCACAGTTTGAAATTCCAAGACCTCATTACTGGCCTTCAGGGACCAGCAGGGTCCCATCGCCTCCTCTTCCCCCCCTCCCATTCCGCACCCCCACCAAGCTCCAGCTATTCTCAGGGCTCCAGCCAGTCACCACTCTGGCCAACAAGAGACCCTCGGCATTTTCCTTCTTTCACAGCCTCTATCTCTCATTAAAATGACTTCCTTGGCTGACTTATGTTTACTGCCTGGCCCCCGCACACTAAGACGGGAGATCCAATGACAGCAAAGACTTCTGTGTTTGGTCACCGAGGAGCCCCACGGCCGGAGCGGTGCCTGGCACGCAGGAGGCCCTTGGAAATCCCTCTGCAGAGCAAATGAACAAGTGTGGAAAGAAGAAAGCGTGGGGTTGAGAGCTAAAGAACCAGGGGGCTCAGAGAGGAAGGGAGGGTTGCAGAGGCCCTTCCAGATTCTAGAACCTCCCTCAGGCCTCCTTTGGGGCTCTGCCCAGAGGAGGATGCACCCAGCAAATCTCCCTTATCTTGGGGATCGCATCACTCCACCAGCCAGTCCCACTGATTAAGCTTTTTAAATCAATCCCAGTAGGCCGACAGGCTGGATTCCAGAGATAGAGCTGATCAGACCCTGGAGAAGGCCCACGGCCAGCTATTGTCCACCGGTCAGTCCAAAGTGCAGGGCCTGATCCTGGGTTCCTACCTTCACATTCACATAGCCTCCAGGGGCCAGGCCCAGGTGTGGGGGCAGGGAAAATAAACATCCAAACACAAAATCCTGCTAACAGCTCTTTAATTGCAATGGTGAGGAGGACTGAATCCAGGCCTCCCAAACCCAGAGCAGAGGGGCTGGCCGACAAGGTGTTTGTCACTTACTTGTCCATTTCACCAACTGCTGTGAACATTTCAGAGCTCACACACCTCACAGTACTCAAGGATACTGCGAAGAGAACGGGGACTCTTCATCCCAAGCCCCTTCTATTCCTGATTTCACCTCCTCTTGAGCAGAACAAGGAGTCACCCCTCTCCACCCAGACCTCATCTCCTCCCTGAAGACCCTCCCTCGCCACAACCCCCCTGTCACCACCTGCCTGAATGGGGTCCCAGCCACCCCCACCACCCCCCAGCCAGGGGGCCCTTCCAGCTCTGAGCTCTCCCCACTCGGCCAGCTCCCTCTTGCCTTGGAAAGCTGGATCTACCTGGAGTTCCCGCCCACACTGGAGTCCAGAGGTAATTCGGCCTCTCCGGCTGTGTGACCCCGGGCAAATAGCTCAGCCTCTCCAGGCTTCCCAGCACAAAAATAAACAAATAAAGATGAGGCAGATAACGCTGGCGAGACTTCGAGAGCTGACAGCCAAGAAGGTGATGCCCGTTGAAAGAGAAAATTTAGCACCTGCACCCCGCAAGAGGGGCGGGGACGGTTCCCGGTGGAGGAATTTGTAATGCGGCCCCACCCCAAACAGTGAATGGGGAGCCGCTCCCCACCGCCTGGTTAATGGGATTAGCCCCGGGTTTACTCTGGGCGTTGGCCTGGGGTCCCTAGTGCGGGGAGCGAGAGCCAGCGCCAGCCAGCCAGCCACCCTTCCCTCCGCGGCCGCAGCGGCCTGAGCGGCGGCCTCCGCGCCCTACCCGGGCCCCGCTTCCCGCGCCGGACTGTTTCCTCCATGACCTCAGCCGCCGAGCACGCAGAACTCAGGCCGCTCCTAACGTACAAGGCGCCGGCCCAGGCCTCTGAAGCCACCTCCCGCTGGAATTCCCCGTCCTGCCTGCCCCTTCACCAAGCCACTTCGCCCCGTGCCTCAGTCTCCCCATCTACCTAATGGGCACCCAATGGGTCTGGCTGCTGCTGCTGCTGTTGGGCTCAGCGCAACAGCGGGGTGCGCGCACGCAGGGGCCCCCTGGAGCCACGGCTATTTTCCCTCGGCTTCTGGTTAAAAGACTTGGCGGCTGCCAGGCCCGGCGCAGACTGGAGACCAGAGGCTTGAGGCGCCCTTTCCCAAGCCTCTCGGAGGCGAGGGAAGGCCCCGCCCGTCAGAAAGACCCCGTGGTCTGATTCCAGCACCCTGCCACCTCCCCTGGCCGGGCCAAGCGACCCCTGGAGCGCAGACACGAAAATGACCGCGGCCTCTGGGGGCGCGCGCAAAGGGGTGCAGCCCCGGCCCTTCCTCTGGCTAGGGTCTCCGGCACCCCTCCCTGGCCCGCAGTGCACCACTTGGGAGAAACCCTGGCCCTCATTGTGGCAGCTCTTGGGGGACAGGCGCGCCCCAAGGCCACGACCCGGTTCCTTGCCCCCCCACACACACACACGTCCCCCGCCCCCCGCAGGCAGGGATCTTCGCGCGCGCGCCCCTCCCCCGCCTGGTGCCTCACAAAGGCCCTTTGTCCCGCCGAGCCCTGGAACTCAGGTTCCTGAAAAGTTTCAAGAGAAAAATCAAAGAAAGAGGCAAAAAAAAAAGAGCGCTGCGGAGCGGGCAGGGTCGGTGGGGCAGGGCCACGGCGGCCCGAGGTGTCCCTTCCAAGACCCCAAGGCCAAGGGAGCGTCCTGGGGTCCCGGAGAACTCACAAGAGTCCTAGACTACACTTGGTGGTGGGAGAGGTGGGGGTTTTTTTATTTAAAAGCCGAAGCGTGGGACGCCAGGCACAGATACTGAAGGCAGCGGGGGAGCAGGGGCTGGGTTTCCTGCTGCGGCCGAAGCCAGGTCTGGGGGTCCCGGCGTCTGAGGTCCCCCCACCAGACCGCAGCGGCTGAGGCAGGCTTGCCTCTCTCCCGCGCGGTCCCCACCGAGCCTGGGCAGCCCCGCTGGGGAAACGGCAGGATCCAGCGGGCCTTCTCCGCCCGCGCTTCCATATCAGACCCAGGGTATTCCCGCCACGGATCGTGCAGTGCCGGGCCAGGCCGTCCCGAGCTTCGGGATGGCGGCCGCGCAGTGTCTGCATCCCTGCGGCGGGGCCGCCGGCCTTGCTGCTGGAGAATAAGGGGTCTCCAGGGCCCGCGTTCTGCCCTCTTCCCGGGGTACGGGTCCTGCCACCGTTCCCCGGGGACACGGTGTCTTCTCAAGGGCAGCCGGCCCGCCCGCTGAAGGCCAAGTCCCCAGCGTTGGGGGACTCTGTTCTCTTGCCCACTCACACCCCGCACACACCAAGCGCCCGGACTAGCTGGAGACCCCACACGAGAGACCAGAAGCTAAGGCCCGATGCCGGACGCACGGCGCCTGAAAGGACATTTGCCAAGAAAAGCATTGCAGCTCTGGTGCAGACGTCTCCTAAGGGTGTGGAACGGGGTTTGTTCTTTTCTCGCCCAGATTTTGAAAACTCCAGTCCAGGCTCCAACTGCAGGAGCCCCGGGTTTGGAATCGCCCCTGGGGGCTCCGATTTCGGCCAATTCGACTGCCTCGGGAGAGCCGGACGCGCTGGGGAAGGCTAGAGTCCAGCGCCCCTGTGCGTCAGGGCCTCCAGACTGGCCTCTGCCCGGGGCGGAGACACCCCCTGGGCCTGCCCATACCCCGTGGGCACCCTGTGTACCGGTCGGGGGAGAAGGAGGGGCCGAATCCCCAGTGCGAGCGCGGGGACGGGGGCACAGACCTGGTAGCTTCCCCGGGGCCGGCCTCCCCCGCAGGATCCCGAGGGGACAAGAGAGAGCGGGCACTGCATAGGGCACTTACCCGGGTGCGGGTGCAGGTTGAGGCCGGCCATGTACTTTCCGGGCGGCAGCGGGCCGGGCAAGCCTGAAGCGGGCAGGCGTCCGGCCGTGGCCGCGCCCACGCGGTGGCTGTCCATGGCCAGGCCCGACAGCAGCGGCGGCGGGGGGCCGTGCACGGACCGCGGGGGCCCGAAGTCTCGGCCATCCATCCTCCGCGGGAGTGCCGCGGCCAGCCCCCCACCCGGCCCGCGGGCCTCGTTCAGTGGGACCTAAAAGTTCGGCGTCGGCGTAGTCCCAGAGTCCTCGGGCGGCGGGGGCTCCGCGGCGTGCATGGCGGCGGCGGCGGCGGCCAGCGGGGCTTGCGCTCGGCTGCGGGCCGGCGGCCCGAGGCGCACGGCCGGCCGGCGATGGGGCCCCTCCGGGCGGCCAGGCGGAGCGGCGCGAGGCGGCGCACAAGGCGTCTTGGCGGGGAGAGGAGACGGGCCGCGGAAGAAACAAGAAGCGGGGGAGAAAAGAAAAAGGAGGGGGAAAAAAAGAAACAAGTTCAGAAAGTCGTCTTGCCGTTCGGGACTGGGGGCTGCCGAAGAGGCCAGAAATGAAACTGGGAGGAGCCCCTTTTCCATAAAAAGTTCAATTCCATGCTCCTTCCTTCAGCGGCTTCAGGCTCCTGCGCACCCGGCTCAAAAAGTGCCCAGCCCGGACTCTCCTTCGGCCGCTCACGGGTGCTCCCGAAACTGAAGGCCCCTCGGCCGCGGCCGGAGCGCCTCAATACAAACCTCCGAAGTGTGTTGGCTTCCTGGGCGTCACATGCTCCAGAGTTTCACACCGTGAAACCTTCCCGTGAGCGGTGCGAAATGTCTCCCTAAACACTATGTCACTATCTGATCCGAAAAGTTTAATATTTAACCTTTGGGGACCCTTGTCTTCCTTTTCTGAGTTTGGCTTCCCTGAGCTTGCCCCAAGCCGCGGGATTAGTTTTTTTCATGACAGAGGGTACTAAGTGGGTTTCTTATTTTTTAAAAGAGATTCATCGCCCCCTCTCGCCACCCCCCTCGGGCCACTGAGTCGTACAGTCTAAGTCTGAGGACCGGAGACGTGGCATTCTCGCCTGAGGACTGGAAAGAATCCTTCAAAACAAGCTTTGGTTTCATTTTCCAACGCCCTGGCCTGGGAATCTTGCGGCCCTAGGACGTGGCCTAGCGCGGGGGGTTTGGGGGGCACCAGAGAGGAAGGGAGGCATTCCGGGGTCTCGCTCCTACCCTAGCTTGCCCCCGACCCCAAAAATAACCTACAAAGAAAACCTTGGCGGCGCGGGCGACGGAGGGGCGCCTGCCCCAGCGTTGGGCAAATCCCCGCGTAGTTCCAGTTTAAAGCTGTTTGTTTAAAAGATTTGCCGATTCCCGTGGGGGCGGGAGGGGGTCTAGGAGCCAACCCTGCCCTCGCCCTCCGTCTGCCCGCGGCAGCTCGGATTCCTGATTCCAAGAGGCTGGGACGCTCCTAGAGCCGCCGATCTCACCAAAGCCACCGGGCTCACGGCTGCCCGCCCTGCGCCCCGCGACCGGCTGGCTCCCAGGCCCCGGGCTGCAGACCCTCTCAGCCACAAACCCTCCGGGGTCCTCCAGACTCCCTCCCCAAGTTTGCTAAGGGTGCTTATTTTAACCCGGTTTTGATTACAAATACCCGCTCCCTCCCTCGATGCCTCCCATCAGGCTCTGGTTACCAGATCCGCGTTTACTTTGGAAAAAATCTAAGATCGCCACATCCGAAGATAAATGTCTTAAGGAGGCGATGAGCTTTCCGTGATTTTTTTTTTTAATGTTCTTTGTGTAGCTTTCCTTTAAAAGCCAGCGCTTCGGGGCATACCCCAGCGCCCCACTTTGGGGAAGTCGGGGTGAAGCCCCCCGCAACACCCTTGCTTTGGCAGAGAAGCTGGTTCGGCCATCTGCGGGTTCTGCTGCGTTCTCCCTACTTTTCTCCCCCTCTTAAATGCAGTTAAAATGGCTGAATCCGGCTTTTAATTAAAAACAGCCTATAATCGAAAACGTCTAGGCGTCCCTGGCTCCCCCGCCGCCTGCCGGGAACCGAGAAGGGAACCGACGCCCCTCGGCCGGGCTGGGCGGGCTAGAGCAGGGCTGGGGGCTCAGGTGGGTGCCCAAGGTTCAGGGACTCGCCCCCACCCCTCCCGGGGCGCCCCACCATGCCGGCCCTGGTCCCCCCGATTCTGTTCTCCGGAGCTGGAGAGCTGCGGGAATCCCCGGCGCACCCCGAGGGAGAGGTGGGGTGGGGGCCATCTGGAGAAGTTTGGAGACCATCGTGCCCGGCCAGGGGCAGGCGGGCGGCCCAGCGGCGTACCTGGCGCGGCGGGGCTCCCAGATCCGGGCTCCGGCGACGCTGACTCCGGTGGCGGCCCCGGCTCCCGGCGCGGCTAGGCGCCCGTGCTGCCCGCCATCCCGCGGCCGCAGCTCCCCTTCGCCACCCGCAGCCGCCTCACACTTTTTGCCCGCCTTTCCTTTTTTTGGTAGAAAACCGCTCCCCGGGCCGAGCGCTCGGCGCGCCAACTCCTCCGCCCTCCCGCGGCCGGGCTCCCGCAGCCCCCGGAAAAGCCAGCTTTCCTCCCGCCGAGCTCCCCGCTTTTTAATAAAATCCAGGTAGCGCCGGTTTAAAGAATCCCAAATCTCCATATACAGCCCGGGATTGGAAAAGGTACATTACACAACCCCCCTTTCAAGTTCCTCTCGCTGGATCTAAAAAAAAAAAAAGCGGGGGGGGGGGAGGGGACGACTGGGGGAGGGGAACACTCTCGGGCGAAGAAACACGCATTGTTCCCGGGTGCCCGCCTCCCCGCAGGCCGGCCCCCGACCGCCACCCATTGGCCGCGCGCGCCGCCCATCACGCGCATGTAAACACCTTGGCCCTCGGCCATTCCTATAAAACCAATTACGGACCAAGGGGCTCCAGCAGTTTCCAGGCTCCCCTCGGCGGGGCTGAATGATCAAAACTGGTGGTGAGAATTTTTCCGGGCCGTTTCTAGGCAGCCCTCCCCCTCCACCAGCTCGGACCCCCCCCCCTCCTTTCCTCCTCCTCCCTTTTCCTCCCCCCTCCCCCAGCGTCTGGGCTGAGTGATCAGAATAGAGGAAGATGGTTGTCGCCGCAATCCTGGGCTTTGCAAGGCGCAGTTTAATGGGCCGCCTGTCAGCTTCCTGCTCGCGGGAGGAGGTGACAAGCCGAGCGAGCCGGCAAGGGCCGGGGTCCGGCGGGCTGCGCCCCGCGCCCGGGGGCCCCCCGACTCTCCACCTCCCCCCGAGGCGCGCCTTCTAGAACGCGCGGTGGAAGACGCCAAAACGGACAAGGGCGGCTTTTTCCCTCCTCCCCCCACCTCGCTTTAAAACAAAGCAGCGATTCATTCCCTCTCCCCGAACAGCGCGGTTGGGTGGGATGGGCAGGCGAGAAGGCCGTTTTTCTAGCCCTGGTCTGCGGGTTCCTCCCTGAAACGCGGTGTCAGATGGTTACTGATTAATATTTTGGAGAGGCCGCGGCGGCGGGCAGCGGGTGAGTTTCTAATCTTCTAAAAGGGGTTCCTATAGAAACGCGGGCCAGGGCGCGCCCCCCGCTCGTCCCGGCCGGGGCTGCGGCGCTTTGCCTCGCCCCCTCCCCAAAGACTCTCTTTGCGTGGGCGCTCCCCTCCCTTTCTCTCCCCCCCCCACCAAAAAAAAAAAAATCAGAGCAGAAAAAAGGATTAGATCGGCTGAGCGCGAAGTGACTCCCTCTCGATTCTGACATTTCAGCCTATTAGCATTTCTCCACGGGGCCTTCTGAAACCTATTAAAGTGTAATATTAAAAACCTCTTGGCTGGGGGCCTCTCTCGCCTTCCATCCGCCGCGCCCCCTCCAGGGAGGGCGAGACCGGGAAAAAAAAAAAAATCTGTTGAGCTCAGAGGAAGCAGCAGCCAAGCCCAAAAAGTGCTTGGCTGGCCGCAGCGGCCGGAGGGGGAGGGGAGCCCCAATCCCCCAGACTTTGTACTTTTATTTTGCGCTTTCAGCAAAATCCTTTCTGGGTTGAGTAGCCGGGAGCTGCCCGCGGCAACCTACTTGGCTGCAGGCGCGAGGAGTGCGGACGCGGTCGTAGGGGCCGTCCTGGGCGCCCGCACCCTGCGCAGCCCCGCAGGAACCCGTGCCCGGCTAGGCGTTACGTACCCTCGAAAGGAAGCTTGGAGGGGCAGGAATCCTTTCCGATCCTGCCTCAGAGACCGACCGCGGTGATTAGATTTTAATTAAAACAAGAGAAGCCCGCTCTTTCGCCCCTCGCTGCGGACTCAGCGTTTTTGCATCGTTCGTTTTTTTTTTTTTCTCAATCCATTTTTAAGGCAACTTTTCTGGAGGAGGGGGATAATGAGCTAGTTCGCGCCCATTCGTTCTATTTTCTTTACTCCACTTTTAGAAAAAGAAGGGGGTAGGCTTAGAGAGCGAACTGGGGGTGTCTTAATTTAATTCCAGTATAAATTTTAGGAAAAAAAAGTTCAGCCTCTTGAGGGCAGTTTCAAGTTGCCCTTCCTGGAGCCTCCTGCGCTGGTTTCTAGGCTGCCCTCTTTTGGAAGCTGGAGCTCTGCTGGAGGGGGGGGGGGGGGGAGGAGGGGAGAGAAGGAAAGAAAGCCTCGAAAATAGCCGGAGCCGAGGGGAAGGAGTGGCGGAGCAGGGCACGCAGGTCTCAGGGGCGGCCGGAGGCTCCTGGTGCAGCCCCGGTACGGCCGGGAGCACAGACCGAGAGGAGAGGGGGGTTAGAGAAAGGAGGTATTGTGCTGTGTGCCTTGGGGGAGGGGGGTGACTGCAGAAGTAAAGTAAATGCAGCTGAACTGCGCGAGGCTGCTGGAAGCCAAAGCCGGGGAAGGGGCCCTGAGTGGGGGCGCAGCCCGGGTGGGCGCCGAGTGTCTCCAGCCTTATCCAGAGGCCTTTGTGGGTTCCTAGTAAACCCTCCCACTCCTGAAACCCCCATCGCTCAGTATTCAGACCCCAAACACTGATCCCCCATCCCAGTACCCCCGCCCGGGATCTGGAATGTTTTTCTTTGTTTTAATATAGCTCAAGAAAAAAAAAAAAAAATGTCCAGAGAGTAGGGGTGGAGAATACAAAGGGCTTACGGGGGTGGAAAAAAACAAAAGCCTATTTTTATAAATGTTTAATGTTTTCACCCCTGGATGCTCCAAGACGCCGTAATTGTGCCGGCGCGGTATATGTGCCATAAATCATTTAGTTGCTAATAAAAATTGTGCGTTTGCCCTGGATTTGCCAATGGCGTCTGCATTTTCCAAGTGTGCGCCTGGTCGGCGTGGCGAACCAAGCGTGCATTTCATCAGGGCCGAGGTTCGGGGGGCAAGCGTAGGCCCCCTCCCTCCCCATACCCCGGACCTTTGTGGGCTGCAGCCCCCTTGTGCGGCCGTCCCCGCGCATACCGGCAGCCCGCAGAGCCCCTGGCCAGCGCTGCCCGGGTGCAGGGCCTGGGAACCCGGAGGTGGTGGCGGCGGCGGCTCCTCCTGGCTCGCCGGACAGACCGTGCCGGGCAGTGCCGGGTCTCCGAGCTACAGCGCGGTGGGGGTGCGGGCCGGCCGGGCCGACCTGCGTGCGCCCCGATCTTTGCCCCTCTCCGCCGGCGCCCAGCCGCCCGCAGCCTCCGAGTAAACAGGCGGCCGGGAGCCATCTTAAGGGCGGGGGAGAGATCCCAAATGGAGAGGTGGGCGCAGTCCAGGCTGCTTTCAAGACCCCCCCCGCCACCATTCGTAGGGGGCCTCAGGGGCACCCCCGGCCGACCCTCGCGGTCTGGGAAAATACGCTCCCCCCTCTGGTGACCACACTCAACATAAACCCGGGCCTGGGCGCCCCGCGTGGATCGGGTCGCAGCGCGCGGACTCCGCAGTGCTCCCGGGTCCAGCCGCCATCTTCCACCCCTCCCCCCGCATACTTGTGTTTACTCGGCAGGATCCGTGGCCAAAAAAAGAGTGTGTTGGCGCAGTGTGTGTGTGTGTGTGTGTGTGTGTGTGTTTTGTACTGGCTGCGCGGAAAATCGGCTGAAGCGGGGAACCTCCTCGCAAACCTAAACCTCAGTCCCCGGAGAACGCGCCCAGGCCTGCGCTGTTGTCCGCGGTCATCCCCGGGGCCGCCAGAGCCGAGGCCTTTTGTACGTTCCCGGATCTCCAGTTCCGTGGACGCAGCCCGACGGACAAAATTCTTTCGCTTTGTTTAAAAAACCAAATGACAGGCCAACCTTGGACTCAGCGCTCCCTAGCCGCGCCTTTGTCGCGGCGCGGGCTCAGCGTCCCGCGCTTTTGGGCAATCTTGCCCAGTTCAGGGTCAAACCCTGCGCTCCCCGGAATCCTCGTGTGGCTGGCCGCAGGGACGGCATTCTCCCCTGAACCCTCTCCTCACCGTACCCCCCGAGAAGAAACCATCGTTTCCTAGGCGAGGACACCCAAGCCACCTCCACCACTTGCCCCAAGCCGCCTTGTGCAGCGGGGACCGAAATCCCCGCGCTCCACCAGCCTCTCCGTGTAGGGGGCCCCGGGAATTCGCCGGCCTCCGCTGCCCGCTTGGGAAGCCGTGACGCGGTCTTTTAAGCGCCCGTTTTCAGGTTCCAGGTCCGACAACCAGGGAGCTCCTGGCCCGGGTGCTGCTAAAACCCGGAGAGGCCCCGCCCGGGAAAGCCAGGCTCGCCATCCCCTTGTCGGGAGTGGTTCAGTCACGACTCGGCGCCGAGCCGAGGTTCGACCAGCCCCGCCGAGATCAGTCCCGACTCGCCAGGAAGCCCAAGGGCGCGGCGCCGGAGTCCGGAAAGCCGCAGGAGCCGGGCCGCAACGCACACAGAGCCGGGACCCCGGAGCGTCTGGCCGGCCGGGTCCCGCGGATCCCTGAGGCGCTCAGCTCCGCCTCCAGCCCTAGCCTCTTCCCCAGGCCAGGCCGGGTCGGGTCTTCCACTCGACTGTTGACTCTAAGGGGACGGAGACAGTCTCCGGCGCTGGGGGCCGGCTGGGGCCATAAATCTGGGCGCAGGGGAGGGCCTCCTTCCCACTGCCTGGGCCGGTATTCCCGGTGAGGCCGGCATCTGGACCGCACTGGACACCCTGTCCTCCAGGTCAGGGCATTGGGGCCCCAAGACTAAGCAGGGAGTCAAGTCAGAAATTTCCCTGTTGGCCAGAGAGAGGGAACGAACAGCTTTGTCCACTGGGCACCACCAGCTTCCATCCCTGCAGCCGCGGGATCCTGAGGGGGCCTGGGCATCCCCTGACCGTTCCCTGGGGTAGTGGCGCCCAGCCACGCGCTTACTACTCAGAAGGCGAGGTGAGGCTCTGGTGGGCACGTGCCGCCACCTGCCTGAGCCCAGTTCAGGCTCTGCGCGTGCCATCCAGGGGCGACGGCTGGGTCAGAGTGACTTCTCAGAACTCAGCCTCCCAGCAGGGACTCTGCGGCCATTCTAGGCCACCCTTCGGACCTTGGAGCGCTCCGTGGGTGCACCATGTGGGAAGGGGGGCTTTTGTGTGCATCGAGGACCAAACGGGGTCTCCAGGCGCCTCGCCTGTAGGCGAGGGGCTCCTCTGGTCTCCCCCCCGCCCCCGTGCCAGCCCCATCTCCTCCTTGCCGGGACCTGGGCTTTTCCCCTGTCTGGACCCAGTTCGGCCCCCTCGTCGGCCACCCG